TAAAACTGTTTGATACCTTCTAAGGTCAGCTCATCACGCTTCACAAGAATCCTTACAGGTTTGTTCATGAACTTTCTTGTGATTTCAAGTGCCTCAGGAGGCATAGTAGCAGAGAATACACCAACCTGAATCTTAGGAGGCAGAAGCTGGAAAATATCATAGATCTGGAGGCAAAAAGAGTTGAACATGAGCATAAATCTTGGGGCAAATAAGTCATGTCGACAACAGTGGATGTACAAACACATGCAAGTGTGTGTGTCGGGGGGGTTCTAATTTAATTCATACTCCCTCCGTTTCAATAAAGATTATCTTAGTTTGACTTGGCACAAACTTTAATAAAGAAGGGAAGACTTTTGAGATATGTGGTCTTAAATAAGCCATAACATTTGTGTGGCAATAAAACTTTTGAAACTTGTGGTCTGAAACCTACCATAGCATTTGTGTGGCTATAAATGCTTCTTATTAAGGAAATATTGAAAGGTGCCTTTTTTTTTAAAACAGACTAATAAGGAAATAGTGTCAATCTTTTGAAACAGAGGGAGTAGTAATGTTGAAAGACCTTCAAGACACCATAGGAAAAGGGAAGGATAAAAAGAAAATCACACCCAATTACAACGGCGCAACAACTATGTCTCGGCCCCAAACAACTTGGACAACAGTGTAAAGCTAAAACGAAATTATCACATCACATAGTTAGGCGAATGAAGACATGGATTTAGTTCAACATACTTGATATGAAAGAAAGGATAACAATACAGAGAAAACAGAGATTTTGTTCGTGTCCCTTTCCACTAAAATTTTGAGCTTATTGAGTACTCTAACAGCACTGCGCACTACAACCATCTTTCCCATTAACTGAGCCTCCCTCCCTCTCCTGGCACCAAGCAATTGGACCATTTCTCGCAAGTCACAATTTTCATGTACGATGGAAAACTAACAAAAGAAAATATTCATTGCACCAGATTATAATAACAAAAATCTCAGAAAAGCTTACTGGTTGGAGAACCTTTCACACTACAGATATGTCAAGAGGGTACGGATGTACAAAGAAACATGCACACATGTATGGGGGAGAGAAAAAGCATATTGGTCAGAGGGGCAGTTTTCAATCTAAAATAGTTGACCTGATCCTTGAAACCTCTGGAAAGCATTTCATCGGCCTCGTCTAATACAAACATCTTTATATGATCAGGGCGAAGTGACTGTCTTCTCAGCATGTCAAATACACGTCCAGGC